GCGCATTGTCGCAGTTACGTGAGCCGCTATTCGGAAGCGAGATATTGGCTGCAAGCTTCCTCCACTGCGCACGGTCGATCCCTTGCCTGCTGCTGACCAGTCGCCTAGCTTGTGACTCCACCGGCACTGCGACTGCGACTTTGATTCACATTCACGATTGCCACGACACCGCGCCCATGAAACAAAGTTGCAACCTCACGCGATCCGATTTCTGCGCAGACAAGTCATGAGGCTCAAGTCCGCTGTCGATCGTAATATTCACTGCTTCAAGCTTGAATCGTGATTCTCACCTATCGGTCTGACCGTTTATCCAAAGTCTTGTGCAGCCGAGCATTCGATGTTTTCCAACACCACCACGCGCTGCTGCGGAAGGTCAATTCGTCTTTCCACATGACACACCACGTCCACTTCATTCGCATTTGAACCTTCTGACATACATCGGAGGCAGGTGGTTGCGCGACTCACGATTGTAGTCCTCCCGCATCAATTCACCGCGAGGTCGACCCGGCACCAAGGACTCCGCTTAGCGCCATCACAACGCAAGCACGATGGCTGCAGATGCACATGCGGAGTCACTGACCGCCCTCACGAACGAATCCGGAGCTCAAGACGCAAGAGCAGAAGCGCCGCCACTGCAGTCGCTCTTCACCCTACCATTCGCACTGCGGCTTCAGCCACTTCCCCACCTCTACTTCACAGCCAAGCAATCAGCGGCAGGTGGGGAAGACAACTCCACCTTGGACGCAGACTCATCCGCATCGGATCGCTCGGACGCTTCTCGCGACTCTGGTGCTCTCAAGCTCAAAGGCTGTCTCGAGACAGTCCCACCTCACCAGCTCCACGTCGTCTCTTACCTCATTGCCAACACCAATGCATTGCAGGCCGTCTGCTCGTGGTCCAAGCTGCTTGCCCTGCTCGCCGACGCAGACGATGATCCGGCCTTCTCAAACTTGCGCGCATTCTTCGATGCCCGCTTCGACCGCGAAGGTCACCTCATCGAGGATGCCCCAAAGTCTCCAAGGAAAGCGCAGTCTAGGCGAAGAAGCTCGGCGGTCAAGAGCGACAACCCTCGAAG